AACGATGAGGTGGTTTTATCTCCTAAGAGGTAGGAACTTTTACCCTAGTGTAAATTCATTCTTAAATTCTTATAGTTTATAATACCTCTAAAATCTACAGTTTATATGCTTCACTATTTTATGTCGGACATTCGAAATGCTAGCTGAATATCAGAAACTTTATGTGGGAAAGACAACATCTCAACATTCAAATGATTAGAAGATGTGGTTGCTTTAGAAAACGATATGGAAACAAATTTTTAAAAAGTACTTGCATTTGCATTTGGTGTGAATTTAAGAATTTATAGTACCTCATCGAGTGCTTCCACTTTCTTCCTTAGGATCCCCGAGATGTATCGGATCAGGCCCCAGTGACGGATTTCTCCAGCTTTGCCATATAGTTCAGTCAGCAGCTCTCTGACCGTCACGCTCCGTTCATCATGCAATCCAGTGTCCCAGTCAGGTCCTCTGCAATATTAAAGACAGGCCTACGTGAACTATAAGAAAAGATGCCAGTGACAACTTTCGGTTTCAGTGTTATAATGGATGTGCCTGTTTTTGATAGGTCTCTCTCAATATGAAGTGAGTTTTAGTTACTAAGAATCCTTGTAAAGCTATGATTAGTACTCAGCCCTGGGAGCCAAGTACCTAGACAAGAACAAGTCTTAGCTTCATCTGTGTTCTGACACAATACATTTTGTTTTTTACTCTCTTCATGGGATTAAACAGTGCTGAAAATAAAGTCAAAAATTTAGTTTAATTACTGAAAGTTCACAAAGTAGCCACTTACGGAACTAATGAAGAAGGATGGCTGCTTATTTTTAAAGGATGCATATATATTATTGTTGTAAATTACTGTAACAAGTCAACTGTGAAGTACCACGAACCATGTAAAGCTCTATGAAATTGGGAGTTTAATATATACGGAAGGTAGATTACTTATTAAATGATATTAAGACAATCAAATAACCATTGGGGGAAAAAGGTTGGATCCATGACAGAATTCCCAACGTATCAAAGATTTAAATGTAAAAGTACCGGAAAAAATATGGGAGAGCTACTTTTCAACTCTGGAGGCAAGAGGAACATTTAACGAGGAACCATACACCAGAATCCATAAAAGACTGATACATTTCTCTACGTAAAAATAAAATTCTTATTGCAAAAAGCACTGTAAGCAAAGTCACAGAAAAATATTAGTAACAGAAAAGTATTTGCAATTCATAGGCCAATTTCCCTAATATATAAAGAACGTCAACAAATAGATAAAAAACAAAAGAAAACACTACATCAAGATTACAGTTTTTTAATCTCTTATGCTGTCAAAGATCCCAAAGTTTGATAACACTTCAAAGAACACAGGCACTCTCAACATGTTGCCAGGGAAGAGTGAAAATTGGGACACTCCCTGTGGAGGGCTATTTGGAAATATATATTAATAATACCTACATTCTTTTTATCTAGCGATTCCACTTCTGGTCTAGCTACAGGATAAATTCCACACCTGAGCAACGATGTCCCCTATGAGGTTATTCACTGAAGCACTGCCTGTGATGGGCAATGACTGAAAACAAGCCAAATGGTCATCGGCAGGAGACTGGTCAAGCAGATGACGGCGTATGCCAACAACGGAATGCTATGCAACTATTCGCAAAAAAGACCATGGATTTAGAGTATAGCAGAGTGTATGCTTCAAAATGGCTGTAACGTTTCATCTTACATGTTCTTCTTCTAGCGCGACTTCCACAGGCCCCCCCATCCAGAGCGGGGATCTGCATTCTGTCCCCTTCAACCTGGGTATGCTTGTGACTACAGTGAAAGCAATGCTACACAATTTCGGAGGCTAGGTCAGAAAAAGTAATGCAGCTTCCACTCGTCCCTCTTGAGACACATACCCTTGGAACCTACACACCATGCTGAGAGGAAGTAGAGACACATGGGAGGTCATTTATTCCCAATGACAGCTAAGAGCACCAGCTGAGGTTCTAGTCAAGAGCCAGTATTAATGCCCAGATATATGAGTGAATAAGTTTCATGAGGACTTTTGCCCCAGACACTGTCAGACCACAAGTGAATGTGAGACCCTTAACAGAGAACTGCCCAGCTGAGCCCAGCCAGGCCCTAAAACTGTGATAATTTAAACAGTTTTTGCTTTTGTTATTTTAAGCCAGTGAGTTTTCAGGTGATTTGTTATGCAGTAGGAACACATAGCTGCAATATGGATGTAATGATCTTCAAAATATATAGTTTTAGTGGAAAAAAGGTAAGGTACAGAACAGTACATATAGTATGCTACCATTTGGGTAAACAGGTGTAAAATTATACACACCTATATCTGTATTTACCTACATATGCATAAAATGTTCCTGAGTGGATACACAAAAAACCAACACTACTGATGGCTTGTGAGTCAGGGAACCAGGTAGCTGGGGAACAGAGATGGAAGAAAGATTTTTTAAAACTTTTCATTGAATTCTGTATTTTAAAAAGCCTGACCCATGCTAACGTATTATCTATTCAATATAAGTACATCAAATATTTTAATTTTAATAATTACATCATGTCTTTAATAAATATAGTCTATATATTGCATATATTTCTTAAAACACGAAACGAAAAGTGCTATAGGAAGAGTCACCAGTGGACTGAAAAGCCAGTGACTGAAAGTCTGAAGAGCACTGGGAGAGGCTGCTGTGTGATTAAATATCTATAAGGAAAGAAAAGACATTATTAACACTTTATATGAAGCAGGGATCCAAGAGGCTTAGACGCCACCTACTGGAAACCAAAAGAAAAGCGCCTTCTTTGCAAAAGGCTAAAGAGAGACCTTTATGTAATAAATCTTCTTTCTGGAAAAACAGCAGAATACATTTCCATTTATGCCCAGGCGGAGAAAAGTCCATTAAACACAACGAACAACCAAGGTGACAAGGCATCTCAGAAAGAAAGAGAAAAATCTCCAGAACATAAGCTTACGGACATAGAAATACGCAACTTAAATGACAGAATTCAGGATGGTGCTTCTGAAAAAACTCAGTGAGTTCCAAAATGAGTCATATCAACAATTTCAGGAATTGAAAAAACGAGACGAGCAGAGCAAGGAGATTGAATCCCTCAAAAGGAACCAAATAGAACTTCTGGAGACGAAGAACACACTGCAAAAGTCGAAAAATGAATTAGCACGCTTGGGAAATAAAGTCAACCAAATGGAGGAAAGGATCAGTGATATCGAAGACAGAAATCTAGAAATAAATAGAAGGAAGAAGAGAGAAACCAAAGAATGAAAAGTAATGAAAGAGAAATTCAAGAACTAGCTGATACCATCAGGAGAGGAAACATAAGATTAATAGGCATTATCGAAGGCAATGAAAAGGAACAGGGATTAGAAACCATTTTCAGAAAAATAGTTGATGACAATTTCCCAAATCTAAAGAATGAATGAACTGGAGCTTGGAATTCAAGAAGTCAGCAGAACACTCAATTATCTCGACCCAAAAAGGCCTTCACCAACACATTTTATTAAAATTATCAAAAATCAGTGACAAAGACAGAATTCTCAGGGCAGCCAGGAAAAAGAAGACGGTAACCTATAATGGAAAACCCATTAGATTATTGTCGGACTTCTCAGCACAGACCTTATAAGCCACAAAGGACTGGAATCAAATTTGGAAACTATTAAATAAAAGGAACTACCAGCCAATAATAATGTATCCAGCTATGCTCTCCTTTAGATATGAAGGAGAAATAAAGACCTTTCCAGACATACAAAAATTGAGAGAATTCTCCACTACGAGGCCTGCATTACAGGAAATGCTGTAGTGCAAAGAGGTCAACTCACCTAAAACAAAATGACAAAAAAAAAAAAACAAAAACATAATTCAGAGTATGGTGACTAAGAGCCAGAAAGAAGTAGAGGAGTATAACTCTTACTAAAAACAGGGCATTATAAGCTTAAAGGATAAGAAGAGATTTGCTATAGTAAGGTAGTAATGACCATTCAGCATACATAGGGACAATCTGAGACAACAATGACTGAAAAGGAGAGGATTTAAAGATCCAAATTCGCAAAGGGGAATAAAGGTAAGACATGTGCAGAACAAAATGGACAACTGTGTATATATAACTTTTTCATATTCATAATGGTAACCACATACCAAAGATTCAGAACTGAAGAATATAACATGAAACAAAAAGAACTAGAGGCAAAAGCCCACAAAAGCCAACCAAAATAAAGAAAATAGAAACACAAGGACAAGGAAGCAATGGAAACACTGAGCTACCAGAAAGCAAAAGATAAAATGGTTATAAGAAGACATCATATTTCAATAATCACCCGAAATGTAAGTGGATTGAACTCACCAATAAAAAGGCCCAGAGTTGCAGAATGGATCAAAAAACAAAACCCAACCATATGCTGCCTCCAGGAAATACATCTCAGCTCCAAAGACAAATATAGACTCAAAGTAAAAGAGTGGAAAATGATATTTCAAGCAAATGGCATTCAGAAAAAAGCGGGAACAGAGGTACTAATATCAGATGAAATAGACTTCAAAATAAAAAATGTAAAGAAAGATACTGAGAGACACTTCAAAACCATAAAGGGAATCATGCACAAGAAATAACACTTATTAATATCTATGCTCCCAATCAGGGAGCCCCAAAATATGTAAAGCAATTACTAACAGAACTAACGAGAGAAATAGATCAAAACACTATCAACTGGACATAACTGACATTTACAGAGCCCTTCATCCCAAAACAGTTGCTTATATATTCTTCTCTAGGGCACATGGAACATTCTCAAGAATCGACCACATACTAGGACACAGAGATAGCCTCAACAAATATAAGAGGGTGGAAATCATACTATATTCTCTGATCATAATACTTTGAAACTGGAGATCAACTGCAAAAAGAAAGCAGGAAGAACCACAAATACATGGAGATTAAACAACATGCTACTGAAGAAGAACAGGGTCAGACAAGTAATAAAAAGAGATCAAGAGATACACAGAAATGAATAATAATGATAGTACAACATATCAAAACTTTTGGGACATGGCAAAAGCAGTCAGAAGAGGAAAGTTCATATCATTACAGGCCTATATCCAAAAACAAGAATGAGCTCAAATAAACAACCTAACACTTCATCTTAAAACACTAGAAAAGGAAGAATAGAAGAGGCCTAAAGTCAACAGAAGGAAAGATGTCATCAAAATTAGAGCAGAAATAAATTAAATTGAAAACAAACAAATAAACAAAAACAACAACAACAAAACAGAAAAAATAAACACAACAAGGAGCTGGTTCTTTCAGAAGGTCAATAAAATCGACAAAGTCCTGGCTAGATTCACTAAAGAAAAAAGAGAAAAGACACAAATAAACAAAATCAGGGATGAAAGAGGGGAAATTATGACTGATATCGCAGAAATACAAAAAATCACACAAAAACAATACTGAAAAGTATATAACACCAAGTTTAATAACCTAGAAGAAATGGACCAGTACTTAGAAAAATACAACCTTCCTAGACTGAATCAAGAAGATCTGGAAAATCTAAATAGACCGATCAGCAGTATGGAAATTGAAACAATCATCAAAAACCTACCAAAAAGTAAAAGCCCACGACCAGGTGGCTTTACCAGTGAATTCTACCAAAACGGTCTAAGAAGATTTAATACCTATTCTCTTCAAACTCTTCAAAAAAATTGAAAAGGAGGCAATACTTCCCAACTCATTTTATGAGGCCAATATTGCCCTGATGCCAAAACCTGGTAAAGATAACACAAAAAAAGAAAACTACAGACCAATATCTCTCATGAACACGGATGCAAAAATCCTAAATAAGATACTTGTAAACCGAATACAGCAACATATTAAAAAGATTATACACCACGATCAAGTGGGCTTTATCACAGAGGCACAGAGATGGTTCAACATACGCAAATCGATTAATGTGATATACCACATAAACGAAATAAAAAATAAGAATCATATGATCCAATCAATAGATGTAGAAAGTCTTTGACAAGATATAGCACCCATTTATGATCAAAACACTTAACGAATCAGTGTAGAAGGAAAGTACCTTTACATAATAAAGGCCATATATGACAAACCCTAAACACTCAAAAATGCTAGTTTCTTTTTCCTGTAAGCCTCCATTATCTTACTTCTTTCGAGTTAAGAATATATTTTATCGGTAGATTTTACCAAACAGTGGAGGCTTTAAGTAGCCATAATAATGATAATAATAGTTACCAACTGCATTCAAATCCAGATCAGTGAGACTCCAAAGCTACGCCATATTTACAATGCTATGTTTCCTCTCTGTATAAACATTTAAGTAGACTGATAATATTTATCACTCACTTCATAGTATACAGCATGTAGAGGATATCAGCTTGCTCCTGAAAGCTGGAGGTCTCCCTCAACTGTGAAACCAGTGCGTTGAAGTCTACCTCCCCAGATTGGTCTCTAGGAAGATGTATTTCTACTCGAACAGAGGGAACCTTTAGTTTGAAAAAGGACAAAAAAAAAATTAAGTCCACAAGTGCTCAACTTAAAAAATGCCCTAGAGTGTTCATCTTTTCATCTCTAAACCTTTTACTTAAGAATTCCCTAACTTTTGATGAAAAGTAAACTGAAAACAATGAAACCATCAAGGAACATAGGATAATAGCAATCTAGTTGTTTTAAAGCCTGGCTAGAAAAACTTGCCCATTTAAAATGTGAACTGAAAAGGACAAATATCTTTATCGGGGTAGCATTTTGCCTACTGCCAGTTACTAGCAGAAACCATAGTGGCTCGTTCTATTATTTTCCATAAGGATGGCAGTTTTGCAAAAAGCTGATAGAAATACCTCATGTGCAAGTTTACCTGGTCCTCCTGTGGGGGATGAGGTGAGTCAAGTAAGTTGAATGAAGGCCGGGAAGCCTGAAATATCTTTGCAGGAAGATACATGCTAACATCTGCAAAAGGTTGACATTTATGGGAAAAGTTAGATAAGTAGCAGAGTAATAAAAATGCACAGTTGGTTGGTTCTTTATAGAAGTTTATCCTTTCTTGGTGATATCAAAGGAATATGAATAACATAATTTAAAGAATGTTCAATCAATCAATAAACATTTTTTGAATGGAATGTCTAGAATTGTAGCATAGCTGATGTTAATTATAAAATTGTAATCAACACCACAATGGTGCTGTCACTGATGCTTTGATAGACTATCACATGCAACAGAAAGAACTCAGTTCCGTCTTATATTTTCTGGAATGTCCCAGGAGAGTATCTGGCTGCTCGCAGCTGGATTTCCTTGAGAATACATACATGGGTGATCCAATGCAGGCAATCAAGACATGTAGTGGCTGGCCAACTTTGAGATATTCCTAAGATTCTTACTTACAGTCCATTGGTGAAATACTTACCACCTCTAAGGAGAGACTCTCGTAATTCTCATCATTTCAGATACAAAAACAGAGATATAGAGCTCAAATAACTGTTCAAGCAAGTAAGTGGCAGAGCTGGAAATTGTTTCCTGATTCATATTCTAGAAGTATAACTTAATAAAGTAGATTTCTTCACATAAACCTTTTGTGAAGGAAGCATACGTGGAGGGTATGTTAAGCTTTCCCATATTCTAAATGTGAAATGGTTCCCCAAGGTCACCTTTAATATGGTTAGTAACGATCAACAAAGTTTTAGACAGCAGAAGCATGCACCTCAATCATTCTTGTTATCTGTAAAATGTTAACATCTAGGTCCTCCAGGTGTGACCAAGGAGCCTCTGTCTCTCCACATGCAGCTACCACAGAGGCACTGAGCACTCTTGGAAAACATGACTACTCCCACCACTACAAATGCTACTGAAGGAGGGTCGTGGTCATGGGGAGGTGAATGGCAAAGCTGCTGCAGAATGAGGACCGCAGTTGACAAACACAGCTCTACGCTGCTGGGACAATCGACTAGAGAAGTTACAGCTGGCCTAAGGGAACCACATGGAGCTTACTTAAGGGAGAATAACTCCTCCTCTGCCAGGCTATCTTGTAATAGTCTATAATGCTTTCTCATTAAATAATTTTTTTTCTAAAGAAAAACACGCTTTCCACCATTTTGATACTCTGATGTTCATGCTGAATACGCTGTGCGTCTCCTGTCTGTTCTCACTACATGACTGGCTAAACCAGACTACATAGCTCTATCTACAGCAAACTACACCCAACTCATTCATGTTACAAATATGTGCGTATCTAATGTATTCTAAGTACTGTCTGAGGTTCTGGGGATAAAGCAGTGAACAAAAGAAAGACCCTGCTTACACTGTAACAAATGCCCCACCGCCATGCCATGCCGGGCTTGACGTCACCCTGGACCTGACTCCAGCGACTCAGTATTACTCACTCTGTACATGCAGCTCCTTGGCCTTGGTCACCAAGGACATTAAATTGCAGGTTGATTGCACAGCCGCCTGGAACCGATCTCGCCCTCCCTTCTGTGAGGCAGGGGCTGCTTTAGGTTGGGGAGCAGTGTGTGCCAAAAGGCAATCTAAGTAACGGGCAACTTCATCACCACAGCGAGCTGCGAGGTTAGTGGGGGAGGGGGAGAGAAAACAATGAACAGTTTACTTACTTCACAATCTAACCCACCAAGCAGAATGACAATCCTGGGCCCACTACAGACCACCAGAAGTAGGTTGTTTTACCTCATGAGAAAAAATATCTGATCATTCTATAATCCTGTAGCTTTACCATTCATAAAGTATGGCCAGCTACCAGGAGCCACCTGTTCTTCGACTTCAATGAGATTGTATTAGGATTCCTGAAAGCCTTAGGAGCTTAATATAGAACAGACAGAGCAAGCATTTCATAATCTCTGCATGTGCATGTCATGGTGGTGGTGGTGACGAAGACAGTGGAGTTGCTGCAGAACGCAGCCCTTTGAGTCTCACTCATGAGGACACTTGTGGGGAAAGGCAAAAATCTTCCACTAAACATTCAACATAGCTGAAAACAGATTCCACACATGGCAGCTACAACTGCTAACGAAAAAATAATCTCCATGGTGCAGGGTCACCTCATTCATTTAGTCACCAAATACTTATTACCCACTACGTACCAGGTGCTGTACCAGGTGCTGAGGTTTCAGTGGTAAAGAAGACAGGTACGGTCCCTATCCTCTTGGGCTCCCCCCACCCAATATATCTTCTATAACATATGTCTGTACATAATGGAAACGAAATTATACATATACCCTCATGGATATATAACTTTTCGAGCCTTATGAGAACATTCACAACACTTATAACTGGAAGAGCACAAAGTTTGGATTAATACTGAAGTCTACCAGGTCAATCGTGCAACATCTGCCACGTTGCTATGTTGCCAACTATGCCAAACAGCTGGAACAGAGATCATCTTCGGTGATCCCTCCAGATGTCTTCCTGTGCTCTCATCTGACCAATGAGAACTAGTAAAGCTGTAAGAATGGAAGTCAACTCAGTAACGACCTAATGACAAATATTATAACCTTGAATACAATCCAGATTATTGAGCGGAGAATTATGAAGAATACAGACCTGAAACTAACATAACTAATATAATGTTGTATACCAAACTAACAATAAAAGAATATGGAGAGACGCACTCTCCCCATAGAAGGTCTGCAAGCGACAAATTTAGTCACACATATCCCTAAAAACGTATTTTCCAGAAATTAATCTAAGAGAAAGGGTGCTACAGATAACAACCACAATTACCTATGGGACAGCAGGCAACCTCGATGTATGATCAGTCCTGCCTGCTCTTCAAAACAGTTCAGCTTATGCCAAGATAGATATCATGACTGGTTACTGATGATAGGAAATGACCTTATATTTAATGTACTTTTCCAACAACAACAACAAAAATCATAGTATTTTAAATCTTATGAAAACAAATAGAGTGAATTAAGTGGTACTTAAGTGAGTAAATCCTGAGCCTAAACAAGAAAATAGCCCTTCTGACCACTAATGTGTTCGTCTGTTGTTGATGAGATAACGCTTGCTACCTCGCCAAGGAAAGCTAGTTAATTTTTTTTCTTTTCTCCAACACACTACTCTTAAGATAAAGAAACTGACCACCTTAAGGTGTAGGCTAACGGTTACATACCCAGACAAGAAAAGTAGGGAAAACATGTTCTACAAGAGTTATTTTGCTCCTATTGGCCCTTTTCTCTTTAGGATTCAAACAATGTAATGCTTGCCCTGCCTAGGTCAATATTTTAACACTTTAGGGCATTTCTCAGCCATTTTTAATATATGTTTCAATATGTTTTCTCACTATGCCATCTTTGTATTTCTAGCAGCTAATTAGATTTTGTTGTGCTTTGTCTCATGTGTAATATGAGAACAATAGGCACACCGAACAGGTTTTTCCAAACTACATAAACGCCCCTGCCCCGGAGATTCTGAAGCACCCCTATAACATTATGCATAAAAAGCACTATAACTGAATTTCATATTTTATGTTTTAATGTAAAAAAAACAGTAATATATATGTATAGTTTTCCTGCTATACACTTGATTAACTATCTCTCACTCAGCACTGCATCCTTCCATTTTGAAATCAGCAGCCATTTTATATGCCCAGGAGAGAACTCCTCCCTAACCTTACTTAGTATTCAACTCCATACGCCACAATCACAAAGGGATATTAGACCAGGAACCAAAGGTAAGTAGAAGGAGGAAAAGTAAAGCCAAACAAAGTAGAAGTCTGGGTGTACTGAATAGGAGTGAGACTGCCAGCAGTGAGAAATGTCAAAGATGCTCGACAATACTTTGTATTCTTGGCCAGCAAGGCCAGCGCCTCTATGAAGCCTCCTTACCATTACTGGTTGAATCGTAGCCATTCATCCAGTCAGAAAATTCGAGCTCGTTGAAGTTGTCATCATAATCTTCACTGTACAGCTTACTCTCAGGTCCAGGGTCCATGAAGCTCAAATGTGTGCAGCAAGATGTTGTCAAAAACTCTGACAATTTACCTGTCTGGACTCTAACAATTAGAGGGTAAATAGAAAATAGGAAATCAGAGAAAAAGCTTTTTAAAACAACACAATTTCATGAGAAAAGGATACTCAGCATGTTTTTAGGGGATTACTAATGTTTATATGTCAGTATAAATTTTGTAACAGTAAAATTTTACAGCACTACTAGGCACAGCGTGCGTAGACTAGGGTGCTGTGCTCATGAGGATGGCGGTCATGGGCTCACAGCCCACCAGCAGACCAGTCACCCTCCTCTCTTCCACGGCCATGTTGCTAACTATGCCAAACACCTGGAGCAGAATGAAGAAAAATCATCACAAATCCATCACATCACTTAAAAAATACTCAAAAGACCATTTAGAAAATAAAAGATGGTCTTCGATAATTTTATGAATTATAGTAGATGGTAAGCCATTTCCTCCCCTAGTCAGAAAGCCAACTGCAAAGCTCAAAGGGAACGCCCGTAATGCCAACTGTCTAAAGAAGCCAGTCTGAAGGGGCTCCTAATGGCCAGATCTTGAATAATTTGAACACTGAAATAATGACAGAAGGGAGTGTGACATAATGAAAAAAGTGAGAATCCATGAATCTACAATGACACTACAAGTACAAAATAAAATGGGATGAGGGAAAGCTCTTTCATTTTCAACAAAAAGATTCCAAATACTAGATGCACACGGACTAGTCGAAACACAGATTCATCATTTTACAAGCCCATTGATAATTACCAATTCATCGATGGAAGCTAAGACCATTTGCTCAAAGAGAGTTGGAGAAAGGATATGGAAGAACCTGACAGACACCATTTTAAGCAAATTGAGAATCATTCTGCAAAATAACTGACCTTCCTTCTTCAAAACTGTAATGAAAACCGTCAAGTAAGATTAACCAAAGGGTGTGGAATTGTTCTAGACTAAAGGACATCACAGAGAGACAATAACTAAATGACAATGTGTGATCTTTGATGAGATCCTAGAGTGGGGAAAAAAGCTATGGAGAAACATTAATGGGAAAATTGGGTAATTTTGAGTATGAGATCTATATTGGACAATAATATTGTATCGATAATAAATTTTCTGAGTGTGATGATTACACTGTTGTCATGTATGACTGTACCCTTCTCAGGAGACAGAAGCTGAAGTATTTATGGTAGAACGGTCATGATGTCTCAGGCTAACTCTCACACAATGCAACAAAAAAAACCCTCTGTGTATGTGTGTGTGTGTGTGTGTGTGTGTGTGTGTGTGAGTGTGTGCACACACATACATACATGTGAGAGAGGTAGCAGGGCAGAGAAGAGAGGGAGGAAGGGAAGGAGGAGAGAGATTTTCAATAGGATTTCCGTTAGCTTGAAATTTTTCAAAATAACAACTTAGGGAAAAAAGGGGAAAAAAAGCAGCGAGAATTGAATAGTCTGGTAATCTTTTTTTTTTTTTTTAAGAATAAGATTTCTGGTCCACTGAATTGATAAGGTCGAGCCAAAAAACTGTGTAGGGGAAAAAATTCCACTTCTCTGTAACATCAAATTCTTGATTCAAAATGTCAGACATGAGCTTCTCCAAATAGGAAGATATCATGTTGTCAAAGATACAGAGAAAGGCATCACAGTCTGCCATTACTTTTCCCAACTTCCCAATTTCATTTCACTTTCCTAAAGAGTATGTGGAGGTCACTTACCTAGCCCCACCAAAATAGCCATCCTGCATTTTTCGGAGTGCTGCCAAGACACTTGAATTTAGGCTGGTTCCATCTTCATCTGAGAGAAAGGAAGAGAATTTTAAAACGATCTTTGTGATTTTAACTTTTAAATAAGGTGAATCTTTTAATTATTTGAAACCAACATTCTGGTGGTGATGGTACAAATGAGACACTACTCCCTGACCAGCCTGTATTTCAACAATTCATCTGAGAGTCAACAACACTGCAGAATGAGCAAATGGTGAGCAGTGATGACCAACAGACATGGTTCCTCAAAGGCAGTATCTCATTTATCCTAAGTCCTTTGCACAGCGCCTGATGGCAGAACACCTGACTACTGAACGCCAACAATAAGAACAGCAACCATCTGTTGAATGTTATATGCCAAGCACTGTGCTAACTAAATATTTTATATATTATGTTATCTAATGAGCCTTGGTTTATGTGTGCGTGTGCAGGCATAAAAAATATTTAGAAGGCCAACAATTACGACTTTATGTAAAGGGGATAACAGTACACACATTCCTTCGTGATCCACTGTTTCTAACTTATCCTTTGAAAGTTCACTATCATCCAGATTCTGCTATTGAGCCTATCTAGTGAGTTTTTCATTTCCGTCATTGTAGTTTTCAGTTATAAAACTTTCATTTGATCTTTTATATCTTCTATTTCTTTGCTGATAATTTTTATTTCTTTGCTGTGACTTCCTTTCAAATTCCAAGTGTGGTCATAACTGCTTGTTAAAATCTGTCATATCGCTAACATTTTAGTCATCTTGGTATTAGTGTCTGTTAATTACATTTTTCACTGAAGTTGCCTGGACTAGAACAGTTACTGTCTAAAAGTTTTGTCTCACGAGGCTGCTCCTTTCCTGTTCCGTTGACTGGAGGAATAAAGGTTTTCTTGGGCCTTTTAAGAAAATCTGTACCCATTTGTGTTTCTGGGATAACAGCTCCTCTAACATTCAGTCCAGGACATATGAAGCAGAAGGAAAATCCAGGGAATTCACTGCTGCGTCATTTCTCAGGTACAAAGCGTCCTTTCTTTTTTTCCAGTTTTCAGAGTATTATGTTTGTTTTATAGATAATGTCCAGGGTTTTTATCTGTACTTAGCAGGAGAAAGAGAGTAAAGTGAGTCTACTCTATGCTCTCTGATAACCAGAATTCTTTTTTTTTTCCTGAAGTTAAAGTATTTAAATATATAAAAATTTCTGAATATGACTGGCTAAATCTCTTAAATTTGAAAAAGTAGTGGTATTCTTCATTTTTAGACACAATATAATTTCAACTTTGATTTCCTCTTTAATCAAAAAATTAGAAAAAATTTTAATTCCTTCATGGTCAGATTTTTTTTTTTTAGTATTCTTGTGTTAGTTTTATGTGATATGTCTGACAATATCATACATATGAATTTTAAAAATAAATATTCTTTGTGTATGCTATCTTTTTCAGTCTAGTTTTATACACACCTGTGAATACGAAAATCAGATCTGTTCATCTATACCTTTTATTATTTGTATAATCAATCTGATGTTTTGATAAAAGTATGTTACAGTTTCTGGCTATGAGTAAACAATAGTTTTATCATACTGTCCTAAGTTTTTCTAAAGCACTGTTTTATACATTTCATTGATGTTATTCAGCAGATAAAAGTGTATAAATGTTACATAATCCTGGTGTACTGTAAGTTTTAGTGTAAACTATTCTTCTTGTCCCATTTACTGATTTGCACATTAAATTCTATTCAGTACTTTTGGTATTAATATTACCACCATTGCTTTCTTTGTTAGCAATTACATAATGTATCTTTACACAGTTCTTTATTTTCCATTTTCCATATAATTTTATTTTACAGATATCTTTTGTAAGTAGCATCTAAATTGAATTTTGCTCTTTTATGTTTTCTGGGAATCTTTGTCTTTAATATGTGAATTTAATTCACATTTTAATGTGATCACTAATAAGTTTGTTCTCATTTCACCAGCACGAAATTTTCCCTGACAAAACAGTTATTGGTAACATACACTGTGGAAACTGACTGATCAGGTTTGAAGCCTGACTATCACTTACTAGCTTTGCAACTCAGGACAAGAGTCACCTTCCTCATCATAAGATGGAGCTATTAATAGTACCTACCTGAAGAGGACTATTGTAGTGATTTGGAAATAATGCACTGAAAGCATTTAGCTCAGTGCCTGGTGCAGAGAAAGTGTTTCATAACTGCTGCAGTTACTGCTATTACTACTGTTGTTTCTATTGTGTGCCAAGTATCAAAACTTTGTGATTTAGAGGAGAAAAAAATTGGCGTAGATGATAGAGGGTCTGTTCATCCCTCTAGATGACAAAAATCAAAGTTGTGACAGAAACAAGGAGCAGCAGCAAGGAAAAGTCTGGGATCTAGAGAAACAAGCCATACAACTAGAGAGAAGTCCAAGAAATGACCCTGCAAAGGCAAAAGGTAGGACGAGGCGAGGACACGGGGCTGCCTGGTCCCGAGCGGCTGAGTGAGACAGAGGCTGTGCCAGTGACAGCCGCAGCGGCAGACACCTCTTAAAGGGGCCACGTCTGCAAGCGGATTTTCACGGTGACAGACCTGCTCGCTCTGAGCACCAGTGCCGACTGGGCTGCACGCAGGGGGCACCAGGGACTTACAGGGAGACACTGTCGGAGTGAGGGCTGAGGCGAGACTCGCCCTGTCCAGAAGTGCCGGTGGTGTCCACTGTTCCCTGTTGAGTCCTCCCCGCTCCCAGTGCACAGACACAGAGCCACCGTAGCCCAGACGTCATCAAACTAGATAACAGAGGTCGTTCCACCCAGAGGATGCCCTGAAACCCCACCTCCCCCAACTCGGGCCCCACCCAAGCCACATGCAAGTGTGCCCTCAGCGAGTCCGATGCTCCTTGCTGAGCAGCGTCTAGACTCACGCTTGTGGCAGCTGGCCTTGGTTTCTGGTGTGGCCTCTTGAGGCAACTATAAGCACAGCATCTCTGAGTTGCTTGCTGAATCTTAAGTGGCTCCGGAGGGGCACAGGCTGGGGCTAAACTTGGCCTGCAGCTGAACCCCTCTCAGGACTATGCCACTGGACACCTACTTCACAAATCCATACTAATAAGATCGGGAGACTTAGGAGCTTTGCTTAGTACATAGAAACAGACACAGAAAGCAGCCAAAATGGGAAGACAAAGAAGCAGAAACCATGTGACAGAACAGAACAGAGACCCAGATACAATGGAGTCAAGTAATCTAACAGATGAAGAGTTCAAAACGCTGGTTATAAAGACGCTCAATGAACTTTTGGGAAGAGATAATTTCAGTGAGAAGTTCAAAAAGAGCTAAAAAACATAAAAATAGAAATGAAATTAGAAAAGAGAACCAGTCTGAAATGAAGAACACATTATCTGAGATGAGAAGCATATCTGTAATGGAATAAACAAAGTGAATAAAGAAGAGGATCAAATACCATATCTAGAGGACGGGAAAGCCAATCAGGACACTCAATCAGAATGGCAAGAAAAAAGATGCCAAGACTATAAAAATAACTTAAGGAGCATATGAGACACTGAGACACTATTAAGGCTCTGAATATCTGTCTGATCGGCCTAACTGAAGAAAATCAAGATGTTGAATAGCTGTTTGAAGAAAGAATGATGGAAAACATCCCTAACCTGGTGAAGGAAATGGACATAAAACCCAGCAAGCTCAGAGAATTCCAAAAATCAGGGATCCAAAGATTTCTGCCGAAAGTTAAATACAAAGAATTTTAAAAGCAGCAAGAGAAAAACAAATAATTACATATAAGGGAGCACACATAAACTATGCAGGACAGAAAGGCTTGGCAAAAAATATTCGACAGGACAAAGACCCAGGATCTACAATCAAGGATACTTTATCCAGCAAAGCTATCATTTAGAGTTGAAGGACAGATAAAGAGCTTCCCAGACAAAAATAAGCTAAAGGAGTTTATCACCAACAAGCCAGTATTACAGGAAATGTTGGAGGGACTTCTTTAAGAAGAAAAAACATGTACGAAAAACAGGAATAAAGAATGGTAACAACCGCATTCCTATCAATAAGTACCTCAAATGGAAAAGAATTAAGTGCTCAAACCAAAATATAGAGTGCCTGAAAGGATAAGAAAACAAGACCCCTACATGTGAAAAGGAATTGGACGGAAAAAGGTATTGCTTTGATGGACCTAGAAGGTATTTAAGTCAGACAGAGAAAGATAAACACTATATGATTTCACTTATATGCGGAATTGAAGGAATACAAAAAACAAACTAATCCAAAACAGACTCACAAATATAGAGGACAATTTGATGGTGGACAGAGGGGAGTGGGGTTGGGGGGCTGGGAGAATGGGGTGAAGGGTTAAAGAAGTACAAATCAGTAACTGATGGGTGGTCACGGGGATGGGGAGCACAGCACAGGGAATTCAGTTAGAATAACTACAATGACTAGGTGGAGGGCCACGGGAGTGGGGGAGCATTGGGGGGTCGTTTTATGAACTATATAGATGTCTAAGCAATGTACTGTATACTTGAAACTAAATTTTAAAAAACGAATCCTAGAAATAGTTTACATTTAAAATACTATTTAAAGAACATTTGTTTATAATTGATACATAAAGGAAGTGGCCATGATTATGGGCTGTAATCACTTAGAAATAAAGTGTTATCGAAAAAAAACAAAAACCAACTTTGTGATTTAAATCTAGATGTTTAGTTCTCTTCTTCTTCCCGAGCTGTGTATTTCATCCCAATTACAGTCATGTGCCACTTAACGACAGGGACACATTCTGAGAAATGCATTGTTAGATGATTTCTTTGTTGCACGAACATCACGGAGTACACTTACACACACCTGGATGGTACAGCCCACTACACACCTAGGCTGTAAGGTATGGCCTACTGCTCCCAGGCTATGAGCCTGTACAGCATATTACTGTATAAAACAACATGGGATTAAATCAAGCCCAATAAAAATGATGTGATCAAGAGACGCAGTAAATACGACCCGTGTGAGGCTGCAGCTGGTGTAATACGACAT